AAAATTGCATCATTATACATAAATAGTAGTTTGCATGTTCTGTCCACATTGTGCACATCATGTACCCATGTAGGCAAGGCACACAGAACACAGACATAAGTGAATCTCAGCTATGCTAATTCGTCCCCCCCCCCAAAAGCATGCAGAAGAGAGAATTACACAGTCTTCTCCTACTCATAACCATAGCTCGAGGTCACCTTGAGCACCAGATCAACAGCAGCCATCCCTATTGGATTTGGGATTACACACATTCCCTCTGCTTAGGGCCCGCCTCTGTCTGCAGTCTAAACTGAATGAGAGAGGATTGATGTAGGGGAAAGGGTTGCATGGTTGCATGGAGCATTGCCAGAAATGTTGAAGCTTTTAGAATCTTAAGTGTGCAGTTACACCTACAAATTATTTTCTTTGATCTCAGGAAGAGTTCAAGACCTTCTACAAAACAGCTACTTATTCAAGAGACCTACTGCTTATGTATTTGAAAATTTGTACTGCTGCCATATTACAGTTTCTTATTTCCAGTTTATTGAATTGATGTCATTTTTTGTGCTTAAATAATAGCTCTTGTTTTGTTTAAATTTGTATTTAAAAAACATTAACATTATAAACACTTTCTGCTCTCAGAAACTCTCATTAGGTCTGACTTGAATGTTCTCTATATTTAGTCTTTGATCTGCCAAAATTTTAAAAATACACTCACGCTCTCACACATAAAGAAGTACAATAAAACCTTTTTACGTCAATCAGCTGTTGAGGGAGGTGAATCCAAAGCGCCGTTCACGCCGTCAGCTGGACCAGAAGAAGCCCTACATCATAGCCTGCTTCAGGCAACTGCCCGCTAGCTTCACAGTAGGATCTGAAAACCGCCACAGTAACTGTGAGAACAAGCCTCTCGAACCTGGCCAGGAGTATGTCTTCTTCCTGCTGGTTGAACTCAATGCCACTAGCGGGGTAAGACAGTTCAGTTGAATTTTTTTTGTCAGAGTGGATTTAATTATGCGGTTTTCTTCAGTTAATAGTGGATCTCTGAATGCTGATTTATCTAAACCTAACACATTTATGCTTCTTGTGGTATTCAATTCAGTTTGTTCAATTTGTATCTTTGGGTTTTATGCACTGTGCTAATTTTTGCAAAAAATTGTTTCTGTTCAGAAAATGTTTGCAGCAAGCCCATATACCGACACGGTGGTGACTCCTGAGCTGGTCGTGGACCCTTTGCCAGTAGACGCTGGAGATGGTCTCATATGGGTGTTGGGCCCCGTCCTGGCTGTTGTCTTCATTATCTGCATCGTCATCGCCATTCTTCTGTATAAAAAGTGAGTTGGCTTGGGAATTTCTGTTTGTGGTGAAACTTGTGTGTAAAGATGTCAAAATCTCAAATAGATGTGAAGTTTGGAGTTTTGTTTTTTTTTGTCATTTCATGCCAAACCCCTTATTTGTAGTCAAACTGGGGGATTGGGCTATCTTAAATGATTGCATGCTAGGAGACATGTTGAACGAGGGTCTTATTATGTTTTCATGGCAGCATGATATTCAAAGTCCCAAAAACACAGTTGCATGTAAATATGAAACTTTTTTTTTTGTGGAAAAAAAAGATGGTCGTGGGAAGTGAGCTGGTTGGAGAAAGAAGAGAGGAGGAGATTCTTTGAGATGGTGCTCGACTAGTAGAAAGAATTTAAAAAAGTGTTTGTCAAAAGTGTTTATTCACAGCGAGTATAGGAAGGGTGATAAATTCAAGGGAACAATAAAATAAAGATGTGGTGCCAAAAGTAGACCTTGGTAAAGCATTCATCCAAAATGTGTTGCTTCGTTTGTTGTTGATGTTGGTTAATAGAACGTGGGCAGGGCTGTTGTCATCATGAAAGGGACAGGATGGAAATGTTCTATCACAGGACTGGAGTGAGTCTAGTGAGTGTGCCACTGCCCTCCCTCTAAATACACACAAACCATGAAACCAGTATGATCTCTACCACATAAAAAACCATACGCATTATAGAGGAGTGCAGCTATCATGTTATAGTATCATAACTAAAGGTTTTTCCTACATATTGTCAGAGTCTGGATGTGAAATTAGAACTGTGAATTCTAGTGTTCAAGCACTTTTTCCAGTGTTGCCTAAGTTACCCAATAATAATGTTAGTAATCACTAAACTACTAGATTAAAAACTGGGTGATCTTTTTTTTTTTTTTACTGTAGTGGAGATCAAACTTGCCTTTAAAGCCCCAACACCTCTGCTCCTCTGAGTCAAGACTAAGTGAACTCTCTGTAGCTTCGAGCTTTGGAAGATGCACATGCAGTCAGTATATCGCCCTTTTTTACTGTTAGCTGCAGATATTAGTCTCGGGGGCTGCAAATCCAAACAGAACAATGTTGCAAGAGGTTGCCCTACATACCAGGAAAGATCCCTGAATTATCCAGAAGGGGGTAGGACTGGTGTGAGAAGCATGAGCAGGGCTCGCTACTGTCAGATGATCCGTGACTATCTGACCTTGGTTTACCTCCATCTTGAATGGTTAGAGGGAGAGTAACATCTCTCCTTGAATCTCTCTCTTTTTTCTCTTCTCTTTCACTCCACCTCACTCTCCCATCTCCCCCATCTCTCCATGGTGAATAGTGTTTCCCAGGACTGCCCTTGGCCCTGACATTCCCCTTTCCTATCTGTATCTGCACCCCTTCGCACACACATGTACACGCACACGCATGCACGCAAACATCCACAGACACGCAAATGCAGGGCTCTCGAATGTATGCGCTTACTTACACATTTCATTGAATACGCACTCATTCCAACTCATTGACACGTGCACACACTTGCACTCATGCACACACCTTCTCCCAATGCTGATGAGCTTTATCTCGCTTTTTTGCGAGCCCAGCAGCGACCCCTGTGAATTTTAAACTGCTCTCTATTGATTTATCTCTCTTCTTGCCTCCCCGTCTCCCTTTCTCCTTGTGTGTTGTGTTTTCACCATCTTTATATATTTATTTGACTCCTATTGCTTTCTCTGGAAACAGCAAACCCGACAGGTAAGGCTTAGTCTTACTTAGATTTAATGCATTTTTCAAGACAAAATAGCTTGTCTCAGCACAAAATGCCCTTAATTAGTGAGAGTGAAGGAGACTTGTTCATACGCGATACATGTTACCAGCTTCACAGTCCGTGATTTTGCTTCACTCTTAGCTTTTCTGACCGACTGAGCTACCAGTCAGTCAGAGTTACTGAGTAGACAGTGAGGATGGGATCTGTTGTGCTGGATCAAGTGTACGTTAAAGTTGGTTTTCTTTTTCTTTTTCTTTTGTCTTTTTTTGTACGTCTTCCCCTCTTCCTTCTTTATGTTTGACTTACTGTCCAGCCACAAAAGAAAAGAGTCGGAGCCACGCACGAAATGTCTGCTGAACAACGCAGACATTACACCCCATCACCCCACAGACCCCGTGGAGGTGAGACGCATCAACTTCCAAACTCCAGGTAAGGCAAAAGGTGCATTACACTCTGAATGAAGAACAGGAAGCTCATTCATCTCATTCTAAAATTGTAGAGCAACAAAGGATTAGAAGAAGTTTCTTTTTCAAATAAAAATAATGGAGGCTGTAAAGGAGGTTTAATGCAAAAAAGATCTCACGGGCTGCATACATGTGTGAATCTGGAGAAGACCTTTTATATTGTTGCACAATTACAATTCAGAGAGAAAACCTTTCATGAAAGCAGAATATAAATATATGGTTATGCATTAATACACTTTAGGTGTGTCGTGACAGCAGATTGTTACACTTACACCCACATGTGCTACTCCAAAATGATTGCATATGTGCTTTTGCGTACACCCTGTCTGAGCCCCCCCATATCATTGTGTTTGACATAATTTGCCATCATAACAGCCTGTAGGCTATAAGCATGTCTTTGCCATATCCCCATTAACCACTGATGAATAAGAAAGTTTGGTTTCTCTACGTTTTCTCTACGGTTTTATCTTTTTTTCAAAAACGTCTCAAAGACTTTAGAGTCAGACCTGTTACAGATCGTCAACTTTTCTTTAATGTCAGGTGTGTTTCCAGAACCACTAAAAACTGCTGTAATTAAACCTATACTGAAAAAGGACAATCTTGAGAAGACACAAATGGACAACTACAGGGCAATCTCAAATCTCCCATTTTTAAGTAAGATCATTGAAAAAGCAGTTTCTCAGCAGCTCAATTACTTCTTAAAACAGAACAACTGCTATGATGCCTTCCAGTCAGGTTTTAGACAGAACCACAGCACTGAAACCGCTCTGACCAAAGTGTTTAATGACTGTCTGAATACAGACAGTGGAACAATGTCAGTCTTAGTTTTACTGGATCTCAGTGCAGCATTTGATACAGTTGACCACAACATATTACTCAAACAACTGGAGAACTGGGCAGGTCTTTCAGGAACTGTACTGAACTGCTTCAAAACATACTTAGAAAACAGGAAATACTTTGTATCAATAGGTAACTTCACATCTGAGCAGACAAGTGTCACATGTGGAGTTCCCCAAGGTTCCATCTTGGGACCCCTTCTGTTTAACATTTACATGCTCCCACTGGCACAGATTATAAAGAACAACAAAATAAACTATCACAGCTATGCAGATGACACACAAATATATATCACAATGTCACCAGGAGACCGAGGCCATGTAAAGGCTCTTGGTAAATGCATTGAGGAAATTAATGACTGGTTGTGCCACAATTTTCTCCAGCTAAACAAAAACAAAACTGAAGTAATAGTCTTTGGAGCCAAAGAAAAACGATTACAGTTCACCAGAGAACTTCAAGCTATATACCTAAAAACCACCAACCAGGCGAGAAGTTTGGGTGTAGTGATGGACGCAGACCTAAACTTAGAAAAACACATTAAGACAATAACAAAATCAGCTTACTATCACCTCAAGAATATTTCAAGGATAAAAAATCTGATGTCTCAACAGGACCTGGAAAAACTCATCCATGCATTCATCTTTAGTAGGCTTGATTACTGTAACAGCATCTTTACAGGTCTACCTAAAAAACTCAGTCAGACAACTACAGCTCATTCAGAACTCTGCTGCTCGAGTCCTCACTAAAGTGGACCACATCAGTCCAGCTCTGAGGTCTTTACACTGGCTGCCTGTCCATCAGAAGATAGACTTTTAAGTTCTGATGCTGGTCTATAAAGCTCTGAATGGTTTAGGACCAAAATACATCAGTGACCTCCTGACCAGATCCAGATGACCTGAGGGATCTGGAAGGTTCATACTGGACCTTCCAGATCCCTCAGGTCACCTGGATCCTGTTTTTTATCAATTCCCAGAGTCAGAACCAGACATGGAGAAGCTGCATTCAGCTTTTATGCTCCATATATCTGGAACAAACTCCCAGAAAGCCTCAGATCAGCTGAAACACTCAGTTTATTTAAATCCAGGTTGAAGACTCACCTGTTCTCAGCTGCATTTGAATAAAGCACCAAATCCGCACTGTTTTACTTTTAAGCTTAAATTTCAAAATTTACATTCTAACTACTGATTTTATCTACTGCTCCTTAATTTTTCATTTTAAATCATGCTTTTTATTTGTTTTTTTGTTTTTTAATGTCTCTGTAAAGCACTTTGAATCACCTTGCTGTTGAATTGTGCTATATAAATAAACTTGCCTTGCCTTATTTCTGATGATCATCTGCGCTAAAGTCTAGTTTCTCCAGCCATAGCTTTCTGACATCTTCCCCCTGGCTTTCATTCAGACTGATTTTCTGTTTGTTTGCCTTTTTTTTATCATCAAGCCTCCTGTGATTTGACCACACTGACATCTACGGTTTGTTGACTCTAGTCTTAGCCGCAGTGGAAGTGTTTTTCTTATGCTGTCTTTGTTTCATTTAAGTTTCAGTGTCCAGTTACAAGCTGTGGTGTGCAAAGAAAAAAAAATGCAGTTGGCACATCTGTCGGCCAGTTACCTTCCAAATGTATTGTAGCATAAAAGCTCGCTATGTATCCAAGTAGCCTTTGTACAGATTGGTCCAAGCAAACAGCTAATAAGGGAGACAGTTCTCCATAAGTAGAATAAACACACCTAAACTAGTTTCTGCTTGTTTCTTTTCTTTTATTTCTTCGTTTATGTTTTTTGCCTGCCGTCTTTCTGTCTTCGAGCCGGGATGTCCATCTGTCATCCATGGCCAGTCTCTGCTCCATCAAAAGGCTCAGATTTCAAAATAAAGCATTTCTCTTCAGTCCGGACATGCCGCCTTGAGTTTGTATCTTCGAAGGAAAGAGAGATTTCTTTACATCAGAGGACAGAGAAGCAAGGAGACTCACAGAGACACTTACAGAGAAATGCTACTGTTCCCATCTTTATCTTGCTTGGCATTCAGAGTCCTATCAGAGGTTTCTGTAACCACAATGTTATTGTGGCCGCTCTTACGTTTTGAGATTTCCTCCTGTGCTTAACGCTGTCCTTCAGCCTTCCTTAAATAATAGTCACTCTCATTACAAATGCTTGCTCTCTTTTATACAACAGTCACCAGTATATGTTAAGACTTGTCTTTATTCTCGACGAGCATTCTCATTCCACAGCCTCGCCGTTGTTCCGCAGAATTGGACGCTGTCGTTATCTCCGCACCCGGGGAATTTAATTTAAATGGACATTTTAGCCCAATTAAGTGGGCCGGTGAGCATTTGTGAACATCCCCATCAGCTAATAGCGACCATTGTTCAAATGAGCATACTCCCCGTGCAGTTATCCAAGGCCTCTCCAATCCAGCCGAGCATATGCCGTGTCGGCAATGTGTGCTCGCTGACCCCTAGTGCTGAGGAACATAAAATCTGTTTTTGATTAGCCTTCCAACAGGCATCATGTTTCAGAGAGAGTGTGCACATCTTGTGTGTTTGTGCACGCCTGTCCATGTATGCTTAAAAGCCTGTAGGTGATATGACAGCCTCACAATGACATCCCATAACTCCTTGGGGCACAGAGTGACTTGTTTTGTCATTATCTTCCATTGTGCCTAGGGTTTAATTGGCAAATGGGGCCAAAGTAATGAAGCATCACGACTCGGTGGATATCTACTGTCTATCTGCAGCTAAGCCCTCCCTTTCGCCCGGAGTGCTCGCTTTTTTTTCTTCATCATTTTATTATTTTTCTACTCTTTTTTATATTAAAGTTAAAGCTTTTTTTCCTACAATAGTTAGTGATTATCACAACGCTCCAACTAGCAATAAAGAAATAATTAAATGTAGTTATAATAAACATTTTCATGTGATGAGTTCGATTTCCCGAGCGTCATATGGCGTATGATCAAAACGTTCTGTGACTGCGGCAACATGATTTGAATTTGACCACCATCCCTCAGCGTTATCTGAAGTCCTTTGGCTGTGACACACTGCCTCCAATGCAGCTGCCATGCTTGGAACACTTTCTGAATGCATTCTTCGGTGCATCACACTGCTTTGCTGCTGCAGCCCTGATGTCCTGATGTAGCACTCAATTGTAATTGCGCCACATTTCAGGACCTTTGCACTCAATGTCTTCCATTAGACTCATCGTGAGTAGAAGTTGAACTCAGCACACAACCCAGTAAATTTTGGAAAAAATAAACAGCAACCCTGCTCCTGGTCGTGATCCTAAACTTGTATTCCATCTTGGGTCTTGGAAACTGTGGACTCTTCTCTTTTTAAAGCTGCTGTTTAGTCATTAGGTTGCTGATGGAAATGATTGCAACTTTAACGTGAAGGTGCTAAAAAGTGGCCAAAAAGGCTTGCACCGGGCACCCCGTGCTGATTGGACTTAGCTTGGCACCTCTTGCATCGACATGACCGTGCAATGCTCTTGATGTCAGCAGCGGTTGAACTTTTCCATTTAATGAAAAATCAAAAACAATCTTGCAGCAAACGCAGCCCCAGACCATCACACTACCACTACCATGTTTGACTGTAAGTGTTGTGTTCTTTTTATGAAACGCTATGCTAGCTTTACACCAGACATTACGCGACTCAGACTTCCCAAAAAGTTCACGTTTTGTCTCATTGGTCCACAGAATATTTTCCCAAAAGTCTTCATCAAGATTTTTTTTTGGCAAATGCAAGACAGGCCTGTGTTCTTTATGTTCAGAATGTTCATTATGGATGCTATTTTTGCCCAGTCTCTTTTATAATGTTGAATAATGAACACTGTCCTTAATTTGGGCAAGTGAGGCAATGAAGGTGCAAATTAGATGTTGAGTTCTTTTGTGACTTCCCAGATGAGTCGTCACTGCGCTCTTAGAGTCATTTTGGTGAGCCAGTCGCTTCTGGGACACTTCGTTCTGTTTTCTCCATTTGTGGATAATGGCTCTCATTGTGGTTCACTGGAGTCACGAAGCCTTAGAAATAGCTTCGTAACCCTTTCCAGACTGATAGATGCCAATGGCTTTGTTTCTCAGTTGTTTCTTTAAACCCTGGCACGATGTGTTGCTTTTTCAGATCTTTTAACCTACCTCACTTTGTCAGACAAGTTCTTTTTAAGGGATTTATTGATTCAGCATGTCTAGCAGTAATCAAGTCTCGTTGTGGCTGTTGAAACTGAAATCAGCTTTCCAACACTGTGGTTATTCACAGTAAATGTATGATCTATCAAGGTTTTTGTGGGGGTGCAATTCCTTTCTTACATATTTGTCTAATATTGAAATTCATTTGGTTATCTAGAACGTGCGAGTGTGACAAATATGTAACAAAAGAAAACCTCTGCATACAGCATATAAAATAATACATATGTTGTTCACTATATTTATCTACAAAAGAAGCATCACTCTCACGTCACCGTTACCAAACATTTTCTTGCAACAACTTGAACGGCCAAGTCCTCCCGTTCACAGTTCTGTGGAAACACACACATAGCACACACTTCCGTATGAACATAATCAGGCATGCCTGTACTTTCTTCACGCTGTGATGAATGACGTTTGGAGACAGCGGTTCAGAGCACCACCCACTAGGTTTAATTAGTCATTGTCACAAATCAATTAGGGAGAGGGGGATGTTCAATGTCTTCATCTCACTGCGCTCCTTTTGCGTCACTGCAGTGACGTCTTGTCTCCTATAGACGTCAGTGTAAAGCCACGAATGCTTGTTTTTGCAGCTATATTTTGGAGACTCAAGCGTAACTTTTTGTTTTTGTTTTCGTTAATAATAAAATCCCGCTTTAGCCTGTAATTCTTCTTATCTTGTTTCCGTTACATTAATTTCTCACTTCTTACACGTGAAGCTGAACATAATATCTCGATTCAGTTGGATAAAACTTGCCATCTTTGTATCACGCGATCGACCCTATCACTCTGATGACAGCTTTCAGCCTGTGCAAAATCTATTTTTCTTTGCTTGATGGGCAGGTTGGACACATCCCATCACATGCCATCTCTTGGCCACATGTCCTGTTAATACTGTCACAGATGGCTCCTTTCTGCTTGAACGGTCGGGGACACCTGTGTCTACACGGACGTAATATCGGCCGGCTGGAGCCCCGGAGGACTTCTACTCTGGAGCAGATAAGATTTTGAACCGTCACCACCCTCCTCGGAGCTCCGACTCCCATCAGCTCCGGCTCCACAGCTGTCAGCCAAGAATGCGGACACTTTTCCACACCTTTCACTCCGGGTGCTTTGGCACGAAGCCACAAACAAAGGAACCTTTCAGAGTTAGTTTTCACCAGCAAACATAAGCTGTTTTTCCCTTCTCTGTCTTCCTCACAGTCCTCCGGATGGGGCCTTTCCAATTGCTGTTTATAAAGGCTTAAATATAGCAAATCAATTTTCTTATCGCTGATCTCTATAGCCGCTGATATGGCGGTTGGCAGATGGAATTTTTCCACGGGCCCACAGAGGCTGACACCCTCAGCCAACCAGTCGGCCCCCAAGCGGGAATCTGGCACCGACTGCTATTTGGTGGTGGACGGGAAGTTGTGTTAAGATTTGGAAATGTTTGCCCTACTTTATTACGTCTGTGTGTCAGTTTGGCCTGAAAACTGAAATAACATAATTTAGGCCACCCTGTGGGATGAACTGAGGTAATATTACCCTTGTGTTTTACTTCATGCCCTTGTGTTATGTTGCACATTTCATATTTTCTGTTAACATGGCATTTTGTGTTGCATTACAGCCTTTTTGAAACCATTTCCTTTATGTCTGCTGTCCTTTACAGATTCTGGTCTAAGCAGTCCTCAGAGTGAAGCAGATTTTGACTATGAAAGTTAGTCACTATGCTCTCAGAGTTTGCGTACCAGCTTTCTTTATATACGTATGGTTTTTGTGTGTGTGTGTGTTTTATTTTGTTTTAGGTATTTGAGCACCGCTTGCCTCAATTTCCAAATACATCATTTGCATTTGTTTTTTTTTTTCACATGATGCAGCAAAATTTGAGCACTAATTAATTTTATGTTTGTTTCTATTGGTCCACTAGGGTGTTTTTTTTTTCCTTTAATTGGATCACAATATTCACTCGGGCTGTTGGCTGTGCATTAATCTACCATGCATAAATAACCTGTGTGATCACTTCCGCTCATTTATAGCTGGTTAATAAGTGGAGGTTTTTTTCCCAAATACAACTTGTGTTATTCCTTTTTCTCTTCCTCCCAATCCTTACCTCCAAGCTGTTGTTCTCCCGTCTCCCTCCTCCTTCACCACCACTGCTCCATTTCCATTCTGAACCAACGGGGTCTTTTTCTGTGCTCGGAGATAACAAGCAGAATTAATTAAAGCAGTGGCAAACAATGGCTCGACATTTGATCACCCCCTCTCCTGCTCACCGCAAAAGAATCACCCGAAAGAAAAAAGGGAGTTTCTGGTTTTTACTCTTCCCCCAGTTTTCCCTCTTTATTTTCTTTGCTTATCCACAGGCAGACGTCGACTCTTTAAAATGGAAATACGCGACATCATAAATAGGCTTTTGGAAAGACCGGCTTGGCTTTTTGAAAAGAATGATTATATTTCTCAGGCATATCAACTGCAGATCAGGAGACTGGAAGTGTGTAATTAGATGGTTTTTTGTGACGTGTGTTTACTAATCACTATGTTGATTACAGCGGGAGAAAAATAGGATAGCGGATAGATAGGGGGGGGGAAAAAGCTTTGGGAATGAGCGTTGTGGGAGAGTGGGGGCTGACTGCTTCAGAGTTAGGTTAAGAAAGAACAGCAATTCACCCTTGATTGACTTTGCTTGGGTAAGCTTAACAGTCAAGTTTAGCTTAGAAGCTAAATATTTTCTGGGAAATAACATTGCAGCGCGCCTTCAGGTGTGGTAGATTCATTGGTTTGGAGCGTAAAGCACGTAGTTTATATTATATTTTATTAGCAAAATGAGGCATCAAAAAGCAAACAGTACTAATTATGCTGATCAAACAAATTGAATTGCATATTTGCATCAGGCTCTTATATAAGCCTTCTGCAAATAAGTGCTTCTTACCTCCTCCAGTTGAGGTAAACAAATGCCCTGGTCACTTTTTTTTAAGAAAAACTGTAAAAGGATAAAACACACACACACAAATTGAGATACGTGCACATGCAAAGAAAACTACACACACCACGCGCGCACAAACCCCAACACAAACATTCTTTGATCTCCCCTCAAACAACCTCTTGCTCTTGTTTTCCCAAAGAGAAGTAAGGGCCCCTCGTTTGAGCACGCATTTACTTATTTCACTCATAGCGTCTGATAGTGTTTTCCTTTGAAAGCGAGGCTAGTAAACTGACAACCAAATTTCATTTTCATGGCATCTTCTTTTTCCTTTTTTTTTTCTCCTTCCTTGATATCCATCGTAATGAATTCTTACAGCAGAAGCCATTAATAACCTCGGCTCATTCCAAAGCGCCGCCGCAGAGCTTTGTTATCTCACTGAGAAAACTCAAGTATGAATAAACAAACAGTTCTGCTATTACCCGACAAGGTTTCCTTAAGGTTTGCAATTAACATGCTTAATTGAAACACAAACTCAACATGGGCTTTAAGAATAGGGGGAAACTATTAAGTTTGTCATTTAAGTGGTTTGCATTTTTTGGAAAGTAGACCGTTAATACGGCATGTCCGTGTCCGTGCCCAGAAGATGCCGCGGCGTCCATTTGTCTCATGTGTACATTGTAATCTTTATGTACTTGAGACTGCCACATTGTTATATCAGTGTAAAATAAATTACCATCACTAATGAATACTGTCAGCACAGAGAGTTGGGTCCCAGCCCCCCCCTCTTAAGCGCAACAAAACACGGGTGACCCCCCGTGACATTGGAGGGGGGTATTAAGCATCGTATAAAAGGGAAAGTTAAGGATGGTTAATGTGATTATGCCGATTTGCATGCCCAATTAACCCTGAATTTTTCTGAGGCGGTGTCAACATTTTGTTGACTTTTGACCTCAATGCTCTGCAGGAAAAGAGGCCTTGTGTTTGAAAATATGGAAGTGCTAAGTATTGCCAGTCGGCGTGCAGGGACAGAGCCACAATCTACAGTTGCACCATATTCCATTACATGGCCTCGGCATTATGCTTCTAAATGGATTAGCGACTGGAGTGCACAGCAGTGTTGATAATATTATAGTAGCTGCAACACAATATTCAGTGGATATTGAAGCAAGGAGGAAAAAAAAACACAATTTTCCCCACCCATTTAAAAAAGCTTGTACTTTTAGTGAATGCCTTGGGATAAAAAGCAGTAGGATTTTTGGGGAGGGGTGGAAGTGTATGTTGGACTGCCTGTTTTTGGTATTGGAACGTACCGTAGGGGTATTCGTCATTGAGATAGTGTTCGGCTAATGCCGAGCAAAGTGGCAGATGAAGGAAAAGGCTATCTTTGCACTAGCAGGCTGAAATGGAGCAGCTCACTGTGTCACTCAGCATCATTCACACTCCTAAACCTTCTGATCCCTCTCACACCTCCCTTCCTATAAGCCCCCCCAGGTCAGGGCTCGATTCTAGAATAAGATTTTTATAGAGGCAGCAGTGAAAAGTGGTCGCCGTGCTAACAACGCTGCACAAACAGAGCACTGCAGATTAAGGCTGCGCTAACACCGTGGTATCCGTGTACAGCTAGTGAAAAACAACTAAGTCAACTTAAATTTGAAATGTTCTACTTGATCGAGACCATTCAACGACTCAACAGTATTCCCATTGAGTTGTGAGGTTTTTATTCAAATCGTCTCTTGTTGATCGCAGTCGAGCTGAAAGCAAATGTTACTTTTGATTGTCTCTAATGAGGAGTTCAAGGCAATTTTGTCAACATGAGCATTCTGTTGATTGAAAGACCAAAATGGGGGTCTTTGTGATGATTTGTGGGGCTCCTCGTCTGATCTCTCCATCAAAACCTTTTATTGTTCCTCTTATGTCACGTTAAACTAATTTCCCAAGCTATCACAATTATTGATGCCTCTGAATGTTTGAGCTATAACTGACTACGCTCTGCAACTTTTTGTTCCTATTGGTCCGGCCTGTCCGTCAGCATCGTGATTGCAGTGGGAATAATTACAATTTGGTCTGCGGGTGTATAACACAGCCCTTTCTGGCAAATAATCAATCAGCCCCGCAAGATAAACTTGGCTATTTTTGAGCTCTGGCCTGGTCCAATCAAGTGCGTATAACATCACCAGTCAGCACATTTTTCTTTGCTTTTTTTTTTTTTTACTGTGTGTAACATTCACGATGTCCTGCTCAAGCTTCCTCATCACTAAAACCCATTGTCCCCTCGTTATTTAAGCAAAGATCAAAAAAACAAGTTACCTGTACTTTAAATGGCATGTGTGAATGTTAAGAACCAGTGTCCCGTGTGCTGTACTGACACACTTTCTTTCCTTTCTTCCCTTGTGTGGAATGTCTCTCTATGTTTTTGGCGAGCAGGTATGATGAATCATCCTCCTATCCCTATCTCAGAGCTGGCTGAACACACGGAACTTCTCAAGGCCAACGACAACCTCAAACTCTCCCAGGAATATGAGGTGGGTGGGCCAACGATTCAAACGTGAAAGTTGCCTTACAGTGTTGATTTCTGTCCAATTGTGTTTTCATTGGGGGGAAAAAAAGGACAGTGTCATGCGGTATGCTCTGTTGTCGCATGCTTCTTCTTTTGAATTCTTTCTTTTCTGCTTGTTTTGCGTATGTGCGTGTTGTAGCTGGTGGTACTCGAGCAATTACGGTGTTTACAACAAGTATCACATACATTAGCAGCCTCCACATGGCAAAGAAAGACCTCTGCTAATGTGATTTTGGGAAAAGCGCACACTGGCACTCAGGCTTTAACATGGTATGTGTGGGAGTGTGTGTGTGTTTGTGTGCAGAGGGGATAACTGAGCTGTCTGAGCTCTGAGACCGCAGCGGTTATAAATGACACCAGAGTTGATTAGAAATCAGGAGCGCTGAATCAGCTCTCGTTTGCATACAAGCAATATCCCCTCCCCACCATCCCTAAATCACCGTGCCTGTCGTCTCGCTGCACACCAGGCTAAGGTGGGAAGCGGGTACACCAGCACAGATTGCCGTCATCATGCCCGCTGGTGGATGTTGGCGGATAACGACTTCTAATAGCAATCCTGTATTTCTTGGGTATCTATTATTCATAAATCCACATCCGGGCTATATACCAAATGGACAAGCTTGTTCCGTTCTGCGGGGGAAGAGAGAGACGAGAAACGTGACGCCAAAGTCGACGCTTTGCTGCAACTTCAACTTCTAATTACTTGGTTTTGAGAGAGCCTTAAACCACCGGCTCATCTCTGTCTTCTCTCTCTCGGTCCGCCTGCCCCTTTCGCACAACCACCCCCCAGGAAAAATAAATGACCAAATTAAATAGAGAAGTGTAATTTTAATTTTGTTATTTTCTTGATGAATGGCTGCTCGTGCCGGCGCCCCGGCTTGCCAAGCACAGCTCTACAGGGCTTTGACTGATTGGTTTTTAGCCAGGCGGGATGTGCGAGCGGAGGAAAAAAATGGAGGGGAAGAGGGCAGAGAGGAGAGAAGGGAGAGAGAGATGAGGTGGAGAAGTTTTGGTTAATGATGAGGATTCAGCGAGGGGAGAGAAAGCGGGAGAGTGGAGATGAAGAGAAGATAATCTCAAGTACAAACGGAAGCGAGGAAGGCGAACCGCGGCTCTGCGTGATGATACTGAAGTCGCAGAGTTTATCTGTCTGCTGTCAGGCGCTCAGGAGGCGTCGTCCTGCCAAGCCAGTCACGTGGACACGAGCTGTCATTCATCTTCAGCCATCATCACGGTAAAAAGGAAACGGGGGAGAAATTCTAGTTTTGCAAGAGAAAATATTCTGCAGATTTTTTAAATTTATAAATTTCTTAAATGTCATTTGTGGAAAAAAATATTGAAATGTGAAATACACGGATGTTGTTTGAAGGTTTTTGCACTGAGGGAGAGTTGGGGGGTTTTTAAGAGAGAAATGACCCCAATCTTTTTATGCAGACATGAATACTCACACTTAGTCAGTCATAAGATGATCTGAAAGGAAAAATATAGAGAGTAGGAGAGGTGGAGGACTCTTTAATAGTAAACTTCAGAGAGAAGGCAGTAGATAAAAAGTGGAAGAGTTTGAAGATGGAGCCGTGCTGATAAGGAAAACGGGGATGTCGAAAAAGGCTAGAGAAGGGGAAAAAAAGCCAGATGAGGCTAAAACAGAGGGACTCTCTCATTGCTGTAATGATTGCGTGCTGATTGCATGTTAGATTAGGTTTCCAATTGGACTCAGTTTCAGCTTCAGTCTCTCTCTCTCTCGCTCTCTCCAGCCCCAACTGCAAATATCATTCAAGCCTCCATCCCCATGCCAACACGGCACCAGACGCCTATGAGCAAACATCGGCTCATAATGGAATACTTAATTATCCTGGCGAGGGAGCGGAATAGTTATCTAGAATTCTCGTATTTTTAAAGAGACGGCTGAATTTGTCTTTCACCCAAGTGTCGAGGCTCATTCCACGAGTCTCCTGTCAAAGGGGGGAAGAGCCGCCGCCTTTATCAATATTGTTATTTGTCATTACGCACCCCCGCCGCATTAATGATCTTGATAAAGTACCGCGTGTGGCTGCTGTATCAGAACCAGTCGGCGTGCAGATTGTAACGATACCGTGTTCTTCTTTCTCTCAGGGAAATCAACCTTTCTATCTCTCCCTCCCCCGTCTTCCGCTCTTCTTTCTGTGATAGCACGGAGGTTGTATTGTTATTACTCAGCTGCTCTCGTGGCTCCTTTTGATTGCTTCCTTACATGTGCATGTTCTGCCTGTCTCTGCACCCCCGTCAGTCTATTGATCCAGGCCAGCAGTTCACCTGGGAGCACTCCAACCTGGAGGTGAACAAGCCCAAGAATCGTTACGCCAACGTCATCGCCTACGACCACTCACGTGTCATCCTGGCTCCCATAGAGGGTAAGGCTCAGCCTCACGCTCCGCACATCTTCGCCACCTCTGACATGAGCTCGCATCGCTGCTGTTTGATAAGTGCTCGCACAGAGTCAGCGTAAGCTATCAGTAAAAAAGCAGAATATATAATAAATAATCAGCCGAGTGGAAAGCTGTTTCTTATTGCAGTGTGGATTTAAATGGGATAGATTAGCAATTTAATCCGTCGGGACAAAACTTGACTAGATTATGGAACGGGATTAGGGCCACTGAAAAATATAGAGAGAGATATTTTTTTGGGTCAGGACTCTTTTTCACGCTTTCAACTCATATGTTTGTAAACATAATTGTTTATCCACCAGTATGCACAGGTGCTTTAATGCTGAAATACAAATACAGTTAATATTTTTCGATGGATTTGCCAAACTCCAGTTGTTTACTGAACAGCAGATTTGGTTTTAATGATTGAAACACGTCACATCCTTAGGGGTTAATAAAATATTCTGATTCTGAATTTTAAAGAAGTCCACTGTGCCGGCTCAAGTTTGGGTATAAAAAAATGTTGAATTCAGTCATTTTTATCTTTAAACCTGTTCTTTTTTTTCTACAGATTTCTAAGTATTGTGAAAGGTGGTCTATCTAATAAACGTGTGAAGCACCACATATGCTTACTGTATAACTTCTATGTAGAAAAGGAAGAAAAGTGAAATGTGCTTATTTTTAAACTCTGGACATTTTTCCAGCTCGGCTTGCTACTGACCAGCTAAGCAGTTTACAGAGGCAAATTGGGGGGTGGTGACGCAAGGACTCTTTTCAGCTCATCTTTAGGCCAAGCGCTTAGATCTCACACTCAAACCGAGTCGTGAGTTAAACCAGTGTTTTCAGTGTCCCGTTTGTCTCATCACATCTACGCCGCCGTCTTGACTTCCCTCTAACTGCCTATAGACACGGCGGTGAGAATCTCGGAGCCAGAAAAATTCTTCCTCTGACTCCTAAATCTCAAGGGACATTGTCAGAGGTAGTCACCCTTCACTGCTGACATTGTTCTGGCTTTGCATCACCAGAAGAGCTGCCGACTCCTTCACAGTAATGCTAAACTCTCTGCTCCAGAGTCCTCTCCTTTTGTGTGAAATAACTGCTCGGGCTAGATTTCGGTATCTTTCAGTAGTCAGGCCAATTTTAGGGTGCAGCAACATGCATAACAAAATTATCCCAGGGAAATAAAATGCCTCGTCCATAAATACATAAATTAATCAAGTCTGAAATTTCTATTTTACACTGCAGTGATTTTGCTATTAGTCGCAGCAGTAGAACAATTCATGCACGCCACCATTCTCTGTTCACTTAGCTATGACTAAAGCCAAGGCAGCCCAGTCAAATTGTGCAACGTGGTATCCGTTTTAATGACATTTGACTTTCTTTTCTCTTCTTTACTTCGATTCTTTGTTCTTTCTTTTCTTCTTTTCACCCTGCTCTTTCTGCCTCTCGCTCGGTCTCTCTCCTCTCCGCCCGGGCCGTAGCCCTCACCGAGTCGCCTCTTTTAAACGAGTCCGGTCGAGTTTTTCATTGTTTGTTGCTTGAGCGAATAGATGTCAGTCAAAGAGACATGACTCTCCGACACACAGATGCTGTCACGCCGAAGCCTCTTCTCAAATGGAGAGATTGTAGAAGTTGGTAAATGAAGATGGGTGATGCTCTGCCTTATCACTGCCAGACGCTCGATGTAAGACACTCCAATCACAAGATAATCCTGTTAACATTAAAAGCATTTTGTCCTTTAGTGACTCCTTCCTTTTTAAACTCAAGGGCACCTTGACTTGTGAGCACATTTACACAATCCTGTGCATTAAAAACATTTCAGATCTTTCTGCACAGCAAAAGACCTCCTTCTAGCTAGATTTAGTAGGACCGGTGTATATCACAGCATGGTGGCAGGCTCAGGGGGACTGAAGCTAAATCTACCTCCTAGCTATGTTGGCTGAGCTGTTTTACTTTCCACTATCTTCCATCATCTTTTCGGTCTGTTGTGGTGGTAAACACGATATCTACGGGTACCTGGAAAGAGCCACAAATGCAAAAAAGAAAAATGATAGAATAGTGTGACAGATGTGTTGAATTAATTTAAAAGCGCACAAAAATCTGGTTTGTGATCATTACAGATGGGAGAACTGCAAACGGCATAATTAGCTGTTAATAAAAACATAGTAAATTGCTAATAGATGCACAATACTGCATGAATTAAGCTTCGTAATGCAAAAAAATAAAAGAAAACCTCAGTGTAGAAAGCTGCTTACAACTCAATAAATGTGTATTAGTAACATAATAAATTACAAGTGAGTAAAGGCTTTTATTATTATCAGGTGATATCAAACTCAAACCCCTTTCCTGACAAGTTTCTTAGAAGCTGGCGTGGTCGACAGCATATTGAAAGACATTGCCATTGTAGTTTGGACAGTTTGAGAAATGTTACGGGAATTCAGCCAATTTCTCCTGACTTGTCTTATTCTGGTCTTCACATTTACACATACTCCTTCCTTGGCTGGGAACTGTGTCAGTGCGTGTGACAACTGGGATTTACTGAGGCAGATGGCGTGATAATAATTGTGTTAATGAAAAAGTCTGATAAACGAGGTTAGGAAAAAGATTAATAAAGGAAAAGCAAATCAAAGGCACACGTTCCATCTTTTAATCTCTGTTTTTTTTTTTTCTCTATCTGCCTATGTGTAGGTATAACAGGCAGCGATTACATCAACGCTAACTACATTGATGGCTACAGGAAGCAGAATGCTTACATTGCCACCCAAGGACCTTTACCAGAGACATTTGGAGACTTCTGGAGGATGGTGTGGGAACAGAGAGCAGCCACTATTGTCATGATGACCAGGCTGGAAGAGAAGTCGCGGGTAGGTCCACTCGGCATATCTGGACTTGTTTTCTGCACGCTTCTTTTTAAACCCCCCAACCTTACAAATCGCTCGAAAATGATGTTTTCTTTTAAATGAGCCTTGGAATCAAATCAGTGCATTACACAACCAAGTTCAACAACCAGCTGCTGAAAATGGCACAGCTTTACATTGATTTCCCAGTTGCATAACTGAACTCCATTGGTAGGCAATCAGACTTCATTTTCTTGGGATAGATTGCTTTCAGAGAACTGTAGATATTTGAATGGGGTGGTTAAAGCAACTGGGGAGGCTGATAAAGCAGAGCTAACTCAAAGACACTCTACCTGCGCACATCTGATAAGTTAGGCTGCATATCCACTGGGAGTACCTTCACAGGCTTAGCTCTGTTTTCTCTCCTTATTTGCAGCAGAAACCACAAGCTGTTGCATGTCCCAGAGAGCATAGCGAGTTGTTGAACTTAGACTCCTTAGTGCAGGAAGCTCAAATGAAATTTTAAGAACGGGAGTGCTAGAGTGCTGTAGAGTATTTGCAGTACCTGCGACCAGTCTCTCCTACAGCCATCTGTTGATTGTAGAATATAGAGAGAAAACGATCCAGAGAGAACAGTGGCTTCGTTTCAGGAAGGAACTGGGTCCTAGCTTAGAAATGACAAATAAGACTACATTAAAGAAAACCTTAAATATTTGGTGGTGGGGCAATAGCGTTCAACGCAGTTTATGATAATCACTGCTGCAAATGAGACCTGCACCTGTCATTTATTTGGTACACATTATGGGATATCAGCAGTTGAGACACTGCATCTCTAAGAATAAGAGAGGAGACTAACATTTAAGTACGTGAAGTTGCATAAACTTGCCCAGGCAATATATTTTGCTGATAAAATGTAACTTTATCCCATTAGCTCTAAAACACCATTATGTTTCATTGCACTTAAAATGGGAGTGGGGTGAGTGTGGTGTTTGGTTGTGGGGTTTTTTTCATGTTTGGAATAGTAATGTAACAGTTGCTCTTTGCGTTGTTACATTGTTGCTGATCACGCCCATCCCTTTGTGATCATGGTGCTTTCGGCAGGATAACGAGCATAATAATGTCATAAAGCTCAAATCATCTCAACGTGACAGTTCACTGTCCTCAAATCCTCTCCACAGTCACCACTTCACAAATCAATAGATCACCTTTGGGATGCATGAAAGATTCACATGGTGGCTGTGCAGCCACGATGAACTGCATGATGCTGTTATGTCAGTGTGGCCCGCAATCTCTGAGGAATGTTTCCAGCACCTTGTTGAATCCATGCCCTAAGACAGCGGTCCCCAACCTTTTTTGCGCCGCGGACCGGTTTATGCCTGACAATATTTTCACGGACCGGCCTTTAAGGTGTCGCGGATAAATACAACAAAATAAAACTAGTACCGGCACCGAAAAAAAGAAAATTAATTCATAACACATGTGAAAAGACCAAGGAAAACTGAGTAAACGATAAAAACAATAACAAAATAATGCTGAAAACTGATAAAAACCCTGAAAACTATACATTTCACACCTGAACCTCAACTCTCGTGACCAAACAACTCACGGACCGGCACCGGTTTGAGGCCTGGGGGTTGGGGACCGCTGCCCTAAGAAATTGGGCCAGTTATACAGGCAGCAGGGTGCCCAACCCCATACTATAATGATGTTCCTATTAAAGTGACCAGTGGGTGCATGTATAATAATCCACTAATGTAATAATAATTCACTTAGAAATTTAGCTAGAAGTCATCCTGTCGCATGATGAATACTTTTAATTAATTTTTTTACATTTAGTTCTCATGCTTCTGTGATTCTTACCATTTTCAGTGCAAGACCTTTTCATGCAAAGGATTTTTTTTCTCACAGTGGATTAATACTTTTACTTAAGTGAGTCCGCCGTGATAATATTTAGTCCTCTCGAGGAGTCGACTTGTCTAAATGTCAAAAAGCCAACCATGATGTTTCGTGCTGTCGAGTCAAACCTGTGTCAACATCAGGCTCACTCACCCCAGGTGTCTCCACTCATTTTCCCTTTCTCCATCCTCTTTTGAATTGTTTACCTACCCTCCATCCTGACATGCGCATTCCACTCCTGTCAAACGTGATCAGGGTTAGCGGGTGCTGGAGCTCGAGTGTCAGCTCGACCAGGAAATGGGAGAGAAAACTGGAGAGCAGCGTCTCCCTCGCAAGCTGTCACATCTGATCAGATGTCCGCTGGCACATCACACCCCATATTGAATGAATCTTTATTAGGTGGACTGACGTGGTTTGTGTGCTTGTGTGTAGTGCCACAGGACCAGAAAAAATGTTAACAGTCACAACAAATCAAGGGTTTGCTCTAAAAAGTGTTTTGTTTTGTTTTGTTTTTTTCTTTCTAAACTTTTAAGAAGAGTACAGGTTTCCGTATGAAGATTTGAAATTATAGCAGCTGTGATTATGGAAAGTCATCAAGTTCCCGAGATTTCAATTACATTCCTTGTGTTTCACATTACTGTTGAATATGTTTTGTTTTAAGAAAAAGGCAAGGAAGGAAGCAGGCTGGGTTTGTGTAAGGTTGGTAAAGTTATGCAGTGAGATTGGAGTCGCTGTGACAGGCACATCTGTTCGGTGTGCATAATGTTGTTTCTCAGATGTGAATTATAGAGAAGCTGCCCCGGTGTTTCTGTCACCACTGCGCTGTTTCAGTCCAAAGGAGAGCTCGCTCTGAGAGCGCGCCATGATACGAATTAATTTGATTAAAAAAATGTCTTAACCGTGCCTTTTTATGTCCGTGAGGTTTTTTATGCCGTAGCTAATGCCTCTCTTTCTCTCCCAGATTAAGTGTGATCAATACTGGCCAAGTCGAGGTACAGAGACCTACGGTATGACCCAAGTGACCCTTTTGGACACGATAGAATTGGCCACTTTCTGCGTGCGCACTTTCTCTTTGCACAAGGTAAGATGGTTCCTCACATTGTTCGCCTACACACTACTATTTGTACTCCTGTCTTATGTTTGACAAACAGTACTTGTCAATTCAAACATGTCCGAGCAAATGAATTACAGCCATTATCTTAAATGGTTCAAAAAATGAATAGCAGCGTCCTCATAAATGTCTTTTCAGCAAAGGGAGTGATAGTCCAGAGGACACGCCTTGTAGAAATACAAGCACAAGGTCTGCATAAACATTGAAAATATTGGTATAAACCACATGGTATTTTGCTGCTTAAAGCGAAGATATGTACAAATAAAACCCTTTGTTTCTATTGTCCTCCCAGTCCAGCCCTTTTTACCTTGCACAGCTCTCTCGCTCTCCTCAATAGATCATCTGTTTATGTACATCTGCCAAATTGGAGCACTTAGGTAAAGTGAGCAGAAGAGAAACTCAATATACATAATTGGCAGACTGCTCTCATGCTTCTGTGCACGCACACACAGCCCTGCACAAATATTCGGAGCTATGCTCACTGCAAAGACTGCAATCTCAAAAACGAGAAAAAAAAGTGGGGAAAATATTTATTCAAATGAAAAATTATCATAACAGGATAATCTTACTTACCTAGCTTTTAAAAACAAGTAAAAAAAAACATGATCGCATTTAACAGACTGTTTTGTTTTTATCAAATTTAACAAGTAATATCATAGTTGTCTTCAAATAACACTATATGTTTATATGCTAAAAGCAGAAGAGCTACATCAGAAGCTGCGGGACCCGTGCCTTGATACAAAGAAGCAATTCTAAATATCTTTATCGATACGTCTGAAAACCTACTGGGGAGGTTGACAGAAAAAACGATAGTATTTGAACAAATATCCATTAACCATTCTGATCTTGTTATAATAACAAATCCTGACTAAAAATAGATGTGCTTTTACCACAAATCTCCTGCTTAAAGGGGCATGAAGAGTCCATTTAGATATGTGACTCTTCATATGTGATTCAATTATGACAGAGCAATGTAACGGTGTATTCATTTCCCAAATAAGATATTACCCCAGTAATCATCTGCGTTGACTTTAAAAGGCAGAAAGGTTTGTTGTGTACTGTGTTAGCGGCAGGAACACGCGACTGTTTCATTCATATCAATATGTGAAAATGTGAAAGGGATGCTTAACGAAACTGTTTTTATAATCACGTTTTTGTTTTTATAATTTTATAATAGTAAAATGCTCTAAAAGAAGAGGGGAGGCATAGTGTGTATTCCCTCTAATTAAGATATTTCATATGAGGTATTGCAGTGCACTTTCTCCATGTGAATGAGCACATTCTCAAGACAGATTTTGCACATCCAAACTTGCATTCGTGCTTGTGCACAAATATCGGAAATGCTACATGCATAAATATGATGCCACACACAAACCAGTGTATTATTACCGCATATTGTTTGGCTACCAGCACACATACATTACATGCACCCCGTTCTCACTCGCAGCCCAATGCAAAGACAGGTTCTGTGATAGGAGCTGAACCAGCCACTGGAAGGATTAGACATTTCCAGAATTTTCCTTTTGCCAAGATTACACCAGTGTTAAGTCACTGTTGACTTTTTTGTTTTTTACCTGAATTGTCAATGGGACAATGGATGCTGAGGCAAACCAGTGACAGTAAAGATAGCAACGTATCAGCAGCCGTGGCGCTTTAAAGCTGGTTGACATTCAGGGCCATTTACATTCTGCCGCTCTCAGCCTCTATCACACCCGCCGGTGCTTTCTTCTTTTTTCTGCTCACCCTCTTCCCTCTTGCTTATACCTGAAGCCATTGCCGGGATTTCTCACTGAGCTGTTTTCACTTTGTTGAATTTGTGTGAAGAATCAGGCGGCAGAGGCACACAGACAAACACACGGCGCATTCACAAAGCAGCTGCTGTGGTACATATCTATATGTATGTGTACCCTACAGTAACGCAGGATTGTGTTGATAAAAAAACAAACAAACTTTAAAACCAGCAGCCAGGTAGCAGTCGTATTCATCCTGTCTTCCAACTCCAGAAATGGGGAATGTCCAAAAAAAAAAGGAAAACAAGAAGTAGGTCAGTTTGCTTTTAATTACCACATTCATTTATTCATTTATTCAGCAAGGAAAAATTCCCTCTGTCAGGCAAGTAGAAGCACTGCACTGAAATGCAAACAGTGCCTACATTAGAGGATCTTCTGTGAGGAGGGGAAAGCGGACGGGAAGATGCGAGGCTGATCTTTCTCTCCGTCTCTTTCTTCTTGTCCTTCACAAAATTCTTCCTCTGGATCCCAGTTTTGATGCCTCAATAGTGGATATATGACAGGAGCTGTCAAACGGGTGTGTAATATGAGTGTTTGCCACTTGTATCATGTCCCGAGTGTTCTCAGCAAGAACAATGAGTACATGAGCACACGCACATCAGTGCTGATCAGCATGAAAATGATATCTACTACAACAACAAGTTCAAACTGTGTAAAATCATGATCAAAAGAAAGAAAAAGATTTTCCCAAAAACTGCAACGCCCATTTTGTAATTGAGAGCGGATTTAAACAGCTGTAAAATGTTTAAATATACGCTCGTTTTATTTAATGTGATGCCAGCGACACATTTCAAAACAGAATCGTGACAGGGGCGTGTTTACCACTGGTTTGCATCACCTCTTTCTTTTTTTTTAACAACACCGAGTTTTCAAAACTGCAGCTCAGCCACCAAACACAAACATGTTTTCCCATTCTTGCTTGAGAGGATGGGTTTTGAGCCTCTCAAAATGTTCTGCAATAATAAGATGTTCACAGCATGCCGCATGCGGCTCATCCACATCGAAAGGAGCAAGTTCAGGTGGTTCTGGCATCTGACAAGGATGCCTCCTGGGTGAAGTGTTTTGCCCCACCGGGAGGAGGCCACGGGGCAGACCCAGGACACGCTGGAGAGATCATATCTCTCGGCTGGCCTGGGAGCACCTTGGTGGATAAGCTGGAGGAGGTGGCTGGGGAGAGGGAGGTCTGGGCTTCTCTGCTTAGGTTGCTGCCCGGATAAGTAGAAGAAGATGGATGGATGGACGGACTGCATTTCCTGTGTCCGTAATGTCCATGTGCTTTAATGAACACCCAAACCCCTTTAAAGGACATCAGTGATGAGTGATCAGAATTTCTAAGTTTATACTGTAGCTGGTTTTCAGATTTGTCCCTTTTTAATGTATTTTGTACTGGAGACTACGAAAGCGGCACATTCTTTGCAGTATTACACTGCAATTACACTGACACTTGAGTTACTGAGTTATTCTTAAACTGCTGAAAAACCTACCCGCAAACTCCATTGGATGCTTCTATTAAACCCAGTTATATTTATGACCATTTTCAGGACCCTTGTTTCAACCTTTTTGAATTTTTTCCACTTTCAGTCTTTGATATTTTGTCTCTGTGTTGTACAACTAAACTAAACTGGCATAGTACAGAAAAGTAGACAGGAAAAACAAATGCCAAGACTTGGTCTGGTTTAAATGCCTAGGAATAAAAATGAGTTTTCAAGCGGCTCTTGAAGATGTCGAGTGTTGCTGAGGTGCTCATTTCAAGGGCCCAGGCTGTTTCAAAGTTCAGGGGCATCTACAGGGAAGGCTAGGTCTCCTCTATGCTTTAATCTGCTTCACAGTAAGACCAGAAGCATCTGGTCTGATCTCAATGATCATTTCAGAGAATGTGTAGTTAAAACATCCAAAAACAGAGGAAATACGAGCTCGCTTGCAGGTGCCCGTGAGGACTTGAGCTGCTGCATTTTGGTTGCAGAGGAGAACGCAGCGCCTGGCTGATTCTCAAATAAAAACTACTCCAAAAAGCAAGCCTTGGTGAAATGAAGGTATGAACTAGTCCGTCTAGGCTCTCAGTCATCCAGGTCATGGTAGTCGTAGGACCTTGAAAAATCTTTTAGAACTAAAGAAACCTCTTGTATGAAAGGTGGAACATCCTCACACACTTGAACAAATCCAGTTGCCTTCTTTTTCATGGTTTGCCTTCTTAGCAAAAGAGAGAGAGGGCTTAGCCTTTTGCCTCAGGTAGAAGAAACTAACTGTAGCAACAGCATTTATCTGTTTATTAAATGTGTGATCAGCCCCGTGTTTTGGAGGGCCAAGACGAGTGGGGTTCAGGAGGTCCACTTCTTCGCTTCATCCACAATTTTAACTCGGTGAGACAGTCCAGCAAGGACAGGGTTTAAATGATTTCCAAATCAATACAATTTACACAGTCCCGCAGCTTTTCTATTAGATTTACTGTTGAAGCCATTGATGAGCTGCATGTGTCGAAAGCATTTCATCATAGATGATTTTAACCTAAACTATAGTGCATTTTACTCATCAAGGCTACAAAGTGCTACTTTTTATTTGACCTGAAATCCTAGCTTTGTGGTAAGCTGGTGTATCCACTAAATACGTCAGTATGTCAGCTTTCTGAATGTTTTGTGGTCTCACTGTACAACAACTCTCTGTAACAGCCAAGTTGCACCGTTATCAAGACACCATTTGGGTTTATAGACCAACAATAAAGCTACTGAATGACCCAGTGCAAACACAGTGCAACCAGCCTCTCTTTGTGTTATGCAGAATGGTTCGAGTGAGAAGCGGGAGGTTCGTCAGTTCCAGTTCACCGCCTGGCCTGACCACGGCGTACCAGAGTACCCAACCCCGTTCCTGGCCTTCCTCCGTAGGGTGAAGACTTGCAATCCTCCTGACGCTGGACCAATCATTGCTCACTGCAGGTCGGTTTGTAATTTGATTCACTTTTGTGCTTCAAAGGAACCGATGAGTGGTTCTCGCACCTGCCGGTCTCCCAAAAATGAAGTCAAGCCCAGCATATGGAAAATCCCAGCTTCAGTAATGCAGTTGTTATTAGGTCATTGTGTGTCCGTGAGCCAACAGAATGGCAGGCTTTACCTGCGTACTTGCTATTATAGGTTACGTAACACACTTTACACCACCGCATACTCTCTTTCCCAAATGACCTCTGTCTCTTCTATTTTCAATTGGTCACAGCAGCCTTCTCTTTAATTTATGCTTTATTTCCCTGCTGCCATTCTCTCCACCTTTTTCTTTTCTTCTCTTTCTGTCAAAATGCCTCAAAAGTAATCCCTTCCCATCTCCTCTGCGTCTCCCATTTCACTCCTTAGCTCTTCCTCCTTTTACGTGTGGTATTTCTCAGATGGCTTATTCAAATTGAAACCTTCCTTTTTGTCAAGATAAGAAGACTTCAGTGAGTCCAAAGCGCTACACAATAAAATTGAAATTTGACGGTTTGCTTCGCCCAGTCTCCATCACTGTCCTCCTGTTGTTCTATTTGTCATTTTCCTTCATTGTTTATTTATTTCCTCTCTTAGCTTTCATAGCCTCTCTCTCTTTGCGTCTTCCTATTCAATTATGCAAAGTGTGACTCCACAACAGAGCTTACAGGACTTGCTGTATATAAAACATTATCATGGCACAGTGAATTACACAGAAAATATTCAATGCCAAAACACTCTAAGAAAAAAGAAAAAAAAATGAGTAATTTTGTATCTTTTTTTTTTTATTTTACTCCAGTGCGGGCGTAGGCCGGACGGGCTGCTTCATCGTCATCGACGCCATGCTGGAGCGCATCAAGCACGAGAAGACGGTCGACATTTACGGCCATGTGACACTTATGCGATCGCAGCGGAACTACATGGTGCAGACCGAAGACCAGTACAGCTTCATTCACGACGCTCTGCTGGAGGCGGTGGCCTGCGGAAACACTGAGGTGGCTGCCCGGAGCCTGTATTCTTACATCCAGAAGCTTGCCCAGGTGGAGAGCGGTGAGCACGTCACTGGCATGGAGCTGGAGTTCAAGGTATAGGAAATAAACCTATAAAACCTTAATAACCTTCTGACCATTTTAAGTGCACCATGCACTGAAATTACAGGGTTTTACACCTCGCTTTGTTGTTGTTTTTTCATTAATGAGCCCTAACTACGTGTACCGATCAACTTTAACTTCTGCTGGGGTCAGGCATGCAAATTATCAGGGAGCCTGCTTGGAGTTTTTCCTCAGAGTCACCTGCCAAGACAGTGGGAAATAACGAGCAGCCATAGATCAATGTCTACATTAACTTTCCTCTCTGTGGTCCTTATCATAACTAAATAATGAAGACGGCACCGGTATGTTTTTCTGACACCTTGTTTTAAGCCACTGTAAGCCTTTTAAATAAGCCTAGCTGCCAGCTTTGTCTTCCCAGCAGTTATTCTGGATGCAAATCCAATTTCATTGCTTTTCATATTTTTCTTCATCATTATTTGCAGTGTGCTTAATTTTTGGTTTCAGTCATTGCTCTTTGCTTTGTGATAATGCGTTTCTTTGTATTTTGATTTGGGTTTTTTTTTGTTTTGTTTTGGTGTTTTTTCAGTGGTTCTTAACTATCAGCATCTGTGTTTCTGACAAGAAGCTGTGAAACTAAATTAGGAGACTAGGAAAGAGACAAATTGGATGGTTGCTGTCACTGCCTGGGTGGGTGGGGGGACTGAAAGAATAACATTTTAGCTGAGTGAAGATGCAGTTCATACAGTGTAGCATCACTGTAGAAGGTATATTTAAACTTGCCTTATTTGAATGGCAGCTATTTGTCAGTTTTTTACAGATGCTGTCCAAGTAACAGGTGACTAAAAAACAAATTTCCTTTACTTTCTTGTGCTTCACTTAAAACGTTTTATCATTTAGGTACACAATGCTATTGAGGTGTAGCATTTTTTTTTTCAGAGCTAGAAAAGAGAAATAAGAAGCCCTTTGCTGTTGGGCCACATTGTTCATTTTTGAGGATTTTGCAATAATATGCTTAGGCTAAGAAATTGGATTTAATCTAGCAGGGGCAAGACAAAGGATTTTTTGGCTCAGAGCAGCACGGATTTTCGGTTTTAAGAAAGAAAAAATTAATGAAAAAGCAGTAGGTGAGAAAGACAGCAAAGCGTAGTGTTTATGTACAGAGAGGTGACTAATTAAAGGAAAAACATAAACCCTTGAATCCTGCGATGGGGAGACTGGGTGACTGCTACAGCGGGGGGATATTAGCTGGCATCGTGTACTTTTTCCTTTATACAGCCGTTGCAATTCGTCACAGCCACCGGGCATCAATCTAGCTGACCATCTATGAGGCATCGTGGCATATTAGAAAGTGCTCTCCATCACCACCATCAAACATCACATATCTTTTGGAAGAATGCTGCTTGTAGAGTCACTGCCAGTTAATTGAGTTGGGAGGCTTATCCTATAATTTGTCACCCGTCCATAAAGTAAAGTCACCTCAACTTTGGCACACCAGTTAGCATCTGCTGACCTTGGATTACGCACACAGATTCTTGAATCATTCGTCATCGCTTTTCAACAACGCAGCCTTCCTACCAAGAAACAACAACAGTGCCAGTGCGATTAGTCTTTTTTTGGGGGGGCGTCTTCTCACTGGTGCACAACAGTGACGGAAACTCCACCGCCATCTGTATCAGGAAATAATGCTGAGCTGGCGTCAGGAGTCGAACGGGGATTAATAACATCCACCCTGCTGTCAGTACAGAGGGGGTAGGCGTGTGAGGAAAGGGGGTGGTTGAGCTAAGTAATTAATACTTGATGATGACAAATGGAGGTGGAAGGCGAGGCAAGCGGAGGGAGGAACGTTTGGCTAATGAACAAAGGGACGAGTGTATACTAAGTTGGCAGTAAGGAAGTGATTTGACAGAATACTGCACTATAGGCGAGAGTGGGAGGGCACTGTCATTCTCAGGTAGGATACACAGTCACGCAGAGTTAAGCCATAACTGTCGGGAATCCCTGAAGATAATTTTGTCATGAAGTAGTCAGACAAAAATGCTTTCTTGCTCACAGTATGTGCATTTTAATGGAAATTTATGCACATAGCATGCTTGTAGAACGTGTTTGGCAACAGTATGTGGATTACAACATACACACACAACAAAACGCTACTGAGCTACTGGGATAAATTTCAATTTAAATAGAAGCAAGTATGAGTTGGGATTCAGCTGTTTAAATTGGGATCCAAGTCCAAACAAAAATACAAAAATCTTCTCGAGTTATATAGAAACAGTTATATACATGTACAAAACTCTCACAAGGCTTTGGATGGCAATGCATAATTAATGCTATCAAAGAAGTACACAATTGGAAAGATAGTATTTACTAGAAATAAACCGAAAACCTATGATCTAATAGATAGTAAATGTACTAAAAAGAATAAATATGTGTGAATCTGTAGTGATAGTAGTGCCAGATGGTATTTAATATTGGTATTTAATATTCTCAGACCCTTGTATTTTCTATTACAGGGTTCTGACTTCCCATTTAGATTTGGTTATGTCCAGGGAAGCTTACTGGGGATGGTCCTACGGCGTTTTTGGTCACAGTGCTTCTTTAAGCTCTAGTTTCTGATACATAACCGAATATATGTTTCGGTGCAACATGCCAAATGGAATGAAAACTGACCAGATATGCTGTACTATAAATGGGAAGGAGCTAGTATGAGGTGAAGAGATTGAGGCTGCCAGGTCTGGCTCAGTTCCCTTCACCCTCTGTGGTGTAGCTGAGGGCCTCTTTAGCACTGCCAGGCCACCTTAAGCCTTTCCAGGTGCCTCTGTGAAACACAGATCAAAAGCAAGACAGTAGCAAGGGATAAAGGCATGGGAGGAGGAGGAGGCAAACACTGGATGGACTCCAAGAAGCCACTGATAGAGAGCTGCTGGTGCTATACGAGGGGGGAAAGAGAAAGAGAGACCGAGAATACTCTAATTGGAAGAGAAAATGGAAAGTTAGAGCCGGTTTGTGCACACATACAAGGATGAACACACTGACTTTTTGTATTTTGACAAGTATTGGGAGCTGGAAAGTCTAGAAAATATATTCACATCCCGCCTTCTTTTTCACCGGGGTTAGTTGCAGCTTATCTCTTGTCGCGTTCTCATTTCTTGTGATGCTGCTGGTGTTTTCAGCGCGCCGTGCGTTCTGTCTGAAAGGGGTCCTAAACCATTTGACAAGGGTATCTTCTGTTTGCTTGCTAACGAGCAAGAACACACACACACACACACACACACACACACACATATTCTTTGTTGAGACGTCGAAGCCAAAAGGAGGAGATCATAGGACTTGCTGACCCACAAACTCGCGCTGAGATCCTTATGACGGTGATGATGTAGCAGTACGGCATTTTCATTTTGATCATTATGCAGCGTGCGTGCGTGTTTGTCTTTCTGAGCATCCCTATGTGAGTCTATGTTTTATGCACACTGCCATTATCAAAGCTGCGACTGACCCACTTTTAGGCAAGTTTTCTGTTTCATACAGGCTTGATCCAGAGGCTTGTTAGTCTGGGTGTGTAGCGTATTTTCCGTCATTTTATCTGACCCTCCAGGACCTCACAAGTTGCAAACGGGAATAAAGTTTTGAATTGCTTTCCGATAAATATATTCCTGATAAACAATGTCCTTTGAAGCGGTGGCATCGTGGGTGACAGATCAGATTAGATTAGGTCTTTTTTATTACTTTCTGCAATTGATATTCTCCACTTTCTAGCTATCTTGCACCTGTCTTCTTCATCCTCTCCTGCTCTTCCTTTCTCCCTTTACTTCTTTCCTCTGCAGTGCTACCTTCTCACATTTCTCTGCTTTTAATCTTTATTCTCCTCCTCTGCATCGTTCATTGCAGTCTTACTAAATGTCTCTTTTTTTAACACTATACTATATTTTTACCTTAGTCTGTACTGTTACTGTTATTGCTTATCCTCTGGTATGTTAAACTATCCCTCTGTCTTCCCCCAACAGCGTTTGGCCAACTCCAAAGCCCACACGTCGCGCTTCATCAGTGCCAACCTTCCCTGCAACAAGTTCAAAAATCGGCTGGTTAACATCATGCCCTACGAGACCACTCGTGTTTGCCTGCAGCCAATCAGAGGCCTGGAAGGATCTGACTACATCAATGCCAGCTTTATTGATGGATACAGGTAGGAAGAGTTGAGATGGTTTATTTCTACTGCAAGGAAACATCTTGATTGATCAGAGACATATATTACATGGAATAAAGAAAATGAGAGATATATTCATTCTATTTTTGTATTTTTTCCTCATAGCAGTCATGTAATTAGGTTTATTATTATGTAAAAGCAATCATCAAGTTTACTTATCGTCCACAAGTTTGTGTCGTATGGTTGATTTTGTTTTTCCCCCTCTGAATTTGCATCAGTGGTGTTTACAGTTAATTACTCAAGTAAACATGGTGTGACTTTACTGTTTAAACAGGCAACAGAAAGCCTACATTGCCACGCAGGGCCCTCTGGCGGAGACTACAGAAGACTTCTGGAGAATGCTCTGGGAGAACAACTCCACTATTGTAGTCATGTTGACCAAACTTAGAGAGATGGGACGGGTACGACGCTGATTTATGTTATTTATCTGTCTCTTTTTGCTTAAAAATTAAAATAATTTAAATCAAAATGTAAAACGCCATAAAAAATTCCACTAAAAGTCATCACTTTTTTTTTTTCAAACAGGAAAAATGTCACCAGTACTGGCCTGCTGAGCGCTCTGCCAGGTATCAGTACTTTGTGGTAGATCCCATGGCAGAGTATAACATGCCTCAGTACATCCTCCGAGAGTTCAAGGTCACAGACGCCAGGGTAAGAGGGGGTCCTTTGGTGGTTTGGGAGGGTTAAATAGGGCGCAAGATGAATGAATGAATGCAAAATATATAAATACAATACATTACACCCTTGAAAAGCCTACATAAACACAGAGCCTGTACATATTTCCACACTGTAGCCTACATGTTGTATTTTTTCTGTTCAGCGGCTTTTGTTGTTGACGCTGGGGCACAAATCTGAAATCTGCCCATCACACCTTAAAAGAAAACTTTGTACTAAATTGCTGTCAGCACTCAATAGATATTCAGCTGCAGTTTCTTTGTATCAAAGAGCAAGAGGGACTTTTTCCAGTCTTCTTCTTTATGCTTTTGTTCATCAGAAGTTGTGCGCCAATGCCGCATTTTTAGCCTCCTCAAAAGACTAAAAGTACAAGAGTGTAAAAAAAAAGATGTTATAATTTGGACAGATGCGCCATCAACAACTCACTGAGGTGTTGGAAATGTCAAAGATTTAGCAAGTTGAGTAAAACTAGGCCACGTAAACAGAGAAACATCGCAGTCTCGTCATATTTATCCCAAAAAACCTTCCTTAAAAGAGTTTTTTTCTGTTTCTATTGTGAGATAGATTTCCATAAAGTGTTTCACTACCGAACTGACTTTTCTCGCCCTGAACTGTTAAGAAGCTACTCTGCTCTTTTGTAGTTATCTCTTTACCTCCGATAACATTTCTTTTTTGGTCAAATTAGGTCAGACAGTTCAAAGGAGCAACAGTAGAAATCTAGCAGAGAGATGAAAATCTCCCGTCTCGTTGCCAAACAGGCTGATATACCCATTTCCCAGGCATCATCCTGTTGGTATTAAAGCAATTAAGGCAACTCAAAGACTCGCGCGCTCATGCCGATCTCCTTTCCTCTGTATATTTCTATTAGTTCATGCGCACAAGTTCAGATATCATCTTCCAAAGGCTCTGATAGATTAAACACACTAGCCGTGCCTGCTTTTTCTAATTCTTCATCCCATATTTAGTGACTGGAACAAAACTGTAGAGGTTATCGCCGTGAGTGTGACGATGTTCGTGCACAGTTTCGTTAAGATTGACCCAGTCGTTTCGGAGTAGCTTGGATACACACAGATACATATGCATACATGCGCTACCATCGTTTTTGTAAGAAGAATGCATATAAAGTATGAGATTGCTCTAACGTGCATGCAAACACGATGCCCCGAGGTCTGGTCAGTGCTGCTTTTCTTTTCGAGGATTCTCAAAGGGGACTCAATCATCAAAGCAAACAGTGTTAGCAAACAGGCAGTCAAAGCTTATCACACAGTTAGGAAAACAAAGCGGAGAGATGGAGCGGGTGATAGACCGGTCTGTGCTTTCAGGCCGCGCGTGTGTGTCGATCTGTCATTCTCGACCCCATATTGCTGATTGTGTATGCACTTAAAAGTGTCTGTGACCTGGGCTTACCCTGCTATTGCACAGATCACATGTACATGTTTGCCTGTTTTGTATATGTATGACTGTGTGTGTGTGTGTGTGTGCACACAGCTGTGTGTGTTTCTCTCGCATGCCTCTGCGCAGTAATAGCATAGACTCCACGCCTCAACACTCACATCTAGCGAGCCAGTCACGTATTTAATCACACAATTTGACACGGCGCGTGGGCCCTCAGGTTGTGTGTTAAATTTTGCTCTCCCCCCCCACACACCCCACCCTTCTTTCTTTCGCGTGCTTAGTTTATTGTGTTGTTGTCTTTGCCCCTCTTTCATTTTTAATCCCCCTGCTGAGGCTAAATGTTTTTGAGATGGAAAAACAAAGGCAACACAAGAAAGAAAACATGCAATGCGTCATAAAACAGGGAAAGAGACATGAGGTGTTTTACAAAGAGAGCTGGTATACGGGGCCTGACTTATTCGATTCTAAATCACTGTATATGTCAAGCACAATAAATGTACAAGAGTACCCCTTGGCAGCAGCGATGCAGACGCACATCAGCAGCACGTATAGTCCCATGTGACAATAGGCAGATTATTTAAATCCTTTGACATATAGTAACAACGTAAAGTATACATGCTCAGCATAGTCACCGTCTGAACGGGGGGGGTGGTTAGCTGTTGGCAAAAGTCAGAATAAATCAGTAAGAATGTAGGACAGCTCCCATCCATGATGGTTAGAGACCCTCAGGTACTTGTTTACTTCAACACATTTGACATTTACCATCAATTCTGCTCAGTATGATTTTTGTCATTTATGACATGAAGCATGTTGCATGTCTTCATTGCATCTTGTTCTTTACATACACCATGCTGCAGTTTCTTCAACGGTATTGGGGAAAATTATAATTTATTATACCACCTGTGATTTTCAAAAAAAAAAAAAAAAAACACAGATATTTTTGTAATCTTTCAATAATGTCTTTAAAAGTAAAAATGCTATTTTCATTTAAAAAAAAAAAAAAATGAATTAGCCTTTTTATACCCCAAATTTGAGTGGACTTTGCTGAGACATCAAAAGTTAATCAGGCATTTTTCTGTCCAGAAATGCAAGTAAATAATTTGCCATCTTTATCAAAAAATAATAATGTTTTTTATTATTTTTCAGCTTTTTTTTAATCAATAAATTTAAAATTGGTGGATAACAACGATAATTAGAGTTTAGCATACAAAAACAATGATTACTGGTGGATTAACCATTACAGAAACATACAAATGATTTTGTTATTACCAATAAGGTTCATTTAGGGCAGCTGTGGTATAAAGCTTACACTGGGTGGTGACCTAATAAACTGGTTAAACACTGTACATGTGCACTGACTGTTAGCTTGAAGCTAACTACTGACTGACACTTTTAATTTACTCAGATGAAGAAGATGTTATTGCAATGTTATTCTTTTTCCCAATATCATAATTGAGAATTTGTCTCTTTTAACATTTGTAACAAACTTCAAATGTCAAATTTACTCCAAACTAATTTTAGAATCAAGTTTAGTTAGCAGCTAATAGCAGGATTTCCAAAAACAATAAATAGTTTACTTGCCAACTGAGTACTCAACCAATTGTGCTTCCGCCATGTGTGTGAAAAAAATCTATAGAGAATTTGCGAGAATGACACTTCATATCCGAGCTGAGGTCTGCTGTGCTGAGAAGTGAGAAACAACTGGAAAAATGAACACCTGGTTGTCTTAATTACTGGTGGCATCAAGCGGAGAGCTTGTCTCTGTGAAAATGCTCGTCTGCTCGCCGGCTTTCTCGAGCACTGTGCTGTCTCTGAGACAACATCAAAAGAAGTTTCTTTACAAGGACACGAGTATCGACTGTGCATTCTCAGAGTGGATAATCAGCTCTCTCATAATAAAGCAGATCCCGTCGTTCTCCTCCTGCGATGCCACTTCATTGGATAAAAAAACTATTCAAATGTGTTTGTTTGCACTGCAGTTGAAGCAAATGTAGTTGCCTCACCATTACAACAAGGTTGTAAGAATCAATAAAAGATTAAGTTGTCAAGGTTGACATTTTTCGAACATGCACGTCATTGTGTCAGGGTTTTTGTTTCCAATTTTCATCCTCCAATCCCGCCTTCTTTTCCATAAGTCCTTCTCACTTCTTACATCCCTCCTCCCTCCCTCTCCGTGCTCATCCATCAGGTTGCTCTATTGATCGCATCTCAGGATTATCTTATTCAACTTGGTGTCTAGGAGAAGACGCTTGTCATGGCAGATGCACTATTGATTAGCTATAACTAGGACCTACTTGTGACACACACACACGACTGCGCGCTGTGAACACAATAAGGAAGAAAATGGAAACAGTTGGGCTTAAGTAAGAGAGGACACACTGTCCCTCTGTTGTGAGCAGTGTGTGTGTCACTGTATCAGCAGGTTTAGTCTTATACAGAAAAAAAAGTCATTTAAATGCATATGTAATTAGTGCGAAGGCGTTTTTTTGCTTTCAGTTTGTCCTCTGTGTGGATGTACATAACTTTGTCCTTTTTTCTCAAGAATGCAATGTCTCAGAAATGCCTTAAGGGATTTTCTTCAAGTTTGTCTTTAATGTTCACCAGAACCCAAGGTCACTGTGACCTCTCTCAGCCATAGCTTAAGAATTCATACGCTAATAATGACAACATTTCAAGCTGCTGTCTAATAGAATAAAATGATAAAATCATGACATTTTATATCCAAAAAAGGTCACAATTTTACTCCAGTATCAAAATGTTCTGCAAAAACACTTCTCCCCTTCTCAAAAAGAGAGAGAAGGGGAGATTGTAACCATATTTCACATTTGGTTTCCTGCTGCATTGGTCACACTGATTATGGATGCCCGTCTTAAACTTTTAGTTCTGTCAGAATCACTTTTCTCAGCCACACGTGTGAACAAATGTTCTTGCATTTAACTCTTATTGAACCTACGCGACAATTCGATGGACGCACAGCAGAGAACGACAAAAACAAGGCTTTACAAATTCAAGTCAAATCGATTTCAATCTCTTTCGATCCTTCTATTAGTACTGCATTTATTCTGCATAGTTGTTGGTGGAAGGATACTGATACTGTGCAATTGTTGGTGGGAACTGTCGCCATTTAAGATAACCTTAAATGTATCTTTGCTGCTCACCTCATTTTCTCTCTGTTTTGCAGGATGGCCAGTCCAGAACAGTAAGGCAGTTCCAGTTTACTGATTGGCCAGAGCAAGGCGTGCCCAAATCGGGGGAAGGATTCATTGATTTTATTGGCCAGGTGCATAAAACCAAGGAGCAGTTTGGGCAGGATGGCCCAATCTCTGTCCACTGCAGGTAATGTTGTCGTGTGCATTATATGGCTTGTATATTTTATTTTATATTAGTAATTGTTTTCCTAAAAAGAGATGAGTTGTCGCCTGCTTTGCCTCAAACCGGTCTCTGAAGACATTCTTCTCTTCTTGAAAGCGATATAAGTCTCAAGACGAGATTAAATCTCTTCTTAAGATGGTTATTGTTTTGCAGCAGAGCTCCTCCTAAGGCGCAGCTCTAACAACATCCCTCCTCTCCTCTTTGCCAAGCGCAGTGCACTACCTCAGCACCTCCACGGGCCCTTCTCTTTCATAATTGATAAGCCTCAGATGTGGCTTGGCATTTGCAAGGAGAAGACATATGAAATGATACAGCCATTCTTTTGGGGGTTTTACGATCACTGCGTGGTGCATTTTTATCACCTCCGGTGTAGTTTCCAAGGTAACTTTCACCATTAACTCGAGATGCTGTATGCAGGTAGTAATTGATATTTGGTAGTGGTCACCAGCAGAACGTCAGATTATTAATATTCATAACCCTAAGTGGGATCCGTCTGAATGACTTGTTATTCTCAGTAGCCAAATGAGGACAATCTTCACGGCTTTGGTTCTGTATACGCTGCGAGACTAGCAAAGACGGAATGTATGTCTCGTATATGATCTCCGACACACTTTTTTTAAACGTTTGATTGGCATTCAGCTCCAAGGATACAAATGGGCGAACACTAATAATTCCCTTGCTGTCTCTTAAAAATGCTTTACCTTTGGAGCAGAATAGGTGTCACTTTTGTTCCACATTTCTACTGCAGAGGCACCATGACATCATCGAATGTAGCATAACGTCCTTTGGATTAAAAAGCAATGATGTCACCAGCCATCAAATGACCCTCTGGGAGTTGTCTCGGAGTTGTGTCAGGCTAGCACCACTAAGACTGAGTTATTCTACCCCTCTGTGAAGCCTTTATGGGAGTGCTGTCCTTAAAGTGAAAGGCCTGGTTATTGCAGGACTGGAGTAATGCACAAGAAAGCAGACAGAGGCTGCATTTAGCGCCTAAATAAGTGATGTATCTCACCAAATGCGGTCCTGATTTTGAGGCGTGCGCGCGAGTAAACACAGCAAAGTGTTTTATGTCATTAGAGTTCGATGATATTAATCAGGGAATCATTTTGCACCGATGTGTATCTCGAGTAGTTGAGTAGTAATAGTTGTTGGCTGCATTATCTGTCGGGACTCTAGCTACCTCCTTTCCCATCTAATCATTGTAGCCCTCTCAACTTTCTCCATCCCTCCTCCTTCAGGCTTAGTCGTTTCCGAGAGTAGAGCTTATAGCTTCCTTTTCTCTTACTCTTTCGTCTTCTGTCACCCGCCTACCCCGTTCGTCAACTGCCTGTCTGTTTCTTAATCCTCGCTCTCTCGCGCTTCCTCTCCGTCCATCCATTCTCCCGCACCTCTTTTCTTTTATTCTTCTCCCTTCCTCCTCAGCGTCTATCTAATAGACCCACATGCTTTTTGTCATTAATTGCCTGATTACTTCCCGTGAATGGGGACACCAAATCCTCTCAGTCTGCAGTGGCTCGGCGAGCCTTCAGATTTGGAGAGTCGATCTTCCTGGGGAGTGGGAGAGGTTGAGAGAGTGAGAGAGAAAGAGAGAGAGGGGGGGGGAGCTCTGAGTGAGTTTAAGAGCCCATGTGACAGTCTGTGACTGACTCCCATAAAGAGGCTTTGGGTGGGCTGAGAGATACTGCAGTGTGGGGGTGATTAGGCTCCTGTTTCTTTTTTCATTTAATGGCGTCAAACAATACCAAGTCATCCTTTGTCTCAAGTGCGCCGTTTTCCTCCAGCAGACACGCGCAAACTTGTCAACGAACTCACGCACAAGTCAAAAAAGTGTCTCCCAGCAGCCGTCACTTCCACTCTCCATTCAGACAAAATAGCATCAGAGGCTGGAAGAAGCCCAAATAAATCTGTTGTCATATCAATTATTGTTCCATTGGTGAAGTGGAAGTCATTTCACAGCAAAGCAGCTTAGAGAGGCAGCTCTCAAGTATTTCAGGATCTGAGTTAAGACTCGGGCTGTATTTCTGGAGAGCAGCAGAAGGCTGAGTTTTTCGACACATGGGAGGAGGGACTTAATGAGACAAAATGTTTGCTTGGTCGCTTGTGTGTGACTCGAAATGTGCGCCTATGTGTTCTTGGGCTTGTGTGTGTGTGTGTTAGACAAGAATGTGGCCACAATATGTAAGTGGATTCACGATGTTCTCACATGCAAATTGCCTCCTTTGCTACTGTCACTGGTGTTTTACCATGGAGCAAAATGTCCAGCTGTGGAAGTTTGCTTCCTCTAAGTGGTTAGAGCTTCCAGTGTGCAGAGTATTTTTAGCTCTTTGCAGTCACTGTCTCCCACAAAATGCTGCATGCGACACGAGAGAAAGGCGCAATTTACAAAGGCACCACCAGGGTGGCTGTAGCTCAGGTGGTAGAGCAGGTCATCTACTGATCGGAAGGTTGGTGGTTCGATCCCTGGCT